AACCAAGGGGACTGTGACATGCACTGTGTGCTGCTATGTGGCATATCTTGAACAGATGTGAGTATGTACATGTGTTCTCAGAAGCTCCTTGCTTTCAAAATTGATAGTGATCAGGAGGAGGCCATTTTCACAAGCAATGTTTACATTTCCATGTTTGCAATATTAGTGGAAAGGCTATATTGGCTAGAATTTGAAAGTTCTACACTTTGTGTATAAGATTAGCAATAGCGGCGCTCCAGCAGAAAGAAGCCCAGGCCCTGCCCCCCTAGGGGGGGAATTAAATGCCTGGCTTTCCAGCCCGATCTTCTCCAGGTGCCCTGCAGCCGTGGGGCACTTGGAGAAGATTGAGCAAAGAAGCCAGGCATGTCTCCTCGCCTCCTCTTCCTTCTCCAGCCAGCCCGGGGAAGACATACCCTCCTTTCCCCCTGAGCCTCTCCGCTTTTGTGGAGAGACTTGGGGGGATTTAAATGCCCTGGGTTCCCTGCTCAATCTTCTCCAATTGCCCTGCAGTGCCCCACAGCAGCCAGGCTGGAGACTGGAAGGACAGGGAGGCAAACATGCCTGCTTCTCCCCTGAGCCTCTCCGCTTTTGCGGAGAGACGGGGGGGGGGGGATTATCCCTCCCTTCCACTCCTCTCTCCCTATTTACTTTCTCCTTCCTTCCTTCCTTCCTTCCTTCCTTCCTTCCTTCCTTCCTTCTTTCTTGCCTTCTGTCATACTTCCGGTGATGTCAGGGGATGTGGCATATGCAAATAATTTATGCTAATGAGTTGTGCTAATGAGCTCCTGCACCTCTTTTTCTATGAAATGACCCCTGCATTCATGATTAGTGTTGCCAGTGCCATCCTGGGGAAATCCAGGAGATCTGGGGGCTGTCCTTAGGGAGGGCAGAATGTATGGCAGGAGTTAGCTCAGTGGGGATATGATACCACAGAAACCACCAGGAGTCTTTCTCCAGGGGAACTGTACTAAGGAAATCAGTTGTAATTCCAGGAGAACTCTGGGCTATAAGTTTGGTAATGCTATTCCTAACAAGTGTTTTTAGAGTAGAAGTAGAAATGATGCTTGAGACAGGACTGCTGTGCAAAAGAGTAGCTTTGTGTCAAGTTCTTCTATAGTGTTTAGGCAACAGCATAATGCATCTTACTATTTCCCCGCCCCTACCAATAATGTCCCTGACCTGGATAGTCCAGGATAGCCTCATCTCATCAGATCTCAGAAGCTAAGCAGGGTTGGCTCTGGTTAGTATTTGGAGGGAGACTACCAAGGAATGCTGGGGTCATTATGCGGAGACAGTCAATGGCAAACCTCCTCTGAATGTCTCTTACCTTGAAAAACCTATGGGGTCACCATAAGTTGGTTGTGACTTGACAGCAACATCATCATCATAAAAACAACAACAGTAACAACAACAATGTAGACTGTAAATGGGGAAATGCATGTTGCCATGGCTTAATGTTACAGGACAAACTGGCTATGTGTTAAGCATCACATCTAATTCCATCCTTAGCACGAAAATTTAGTAAGACAAATACATGCAAGGTCTTGTGCACAGAAACAGGTTTTATAAGACTGAGCCACTGGTTCTACCACAGACAATCAGTTTATTTTTGTTTATTAGAAATTAATATCAATACAATATATGTGACAAATCCAAAATAAATAAAGCTTTACAATTTATTCTATCACAGAAGCCAATATGATAATAATAATCATCTGTCACAACAAACTAGTTTTGCTAAAAGAATAAAAACCAGTCTAAGAGGAAGGCCTATCATGTCCCTTCTGTATCCGTCCATTGTCTAATTGGGTGCCACAAAATATCTACCTTTGTAGCAATCTGTGTCATGCACTAATTTCTGTTGTGTCATGTTGTGAGCTAGTGTAATGTGAAACATAATAACGAGCTCATAATTGAAAAGGGGACAATAATTGAGAGCCCTTCCATTCCAAGTGGCCTGTTTGAATTACCTACGCATGGAGAGAAGCCATGCTAATTCATTATTACAGACCGCTCTAATTAATGCAAAGAGATGGCAAGTGTTCTTATGGTAGGCAGACAGGTTGTAAACACTGAAAAAAGGTTGTAAACACACCCACGACAACAGAGTCTGCGGAGAATCTAGGAACTCAACAGAATAAGACACACTGGCTCCCTGTTCCATACACTGTGATGATACTGAGATAATGCAGATTCCTAGAAAGCCTTTTAAGAGCTGGCAAGTGTTCATCCTATTTACATGACTATATTTGTAATGCAAGGCCTATAAAAAGTACATGAACTTAAGTATGTTTAGATTAGAGGGGTGAATATTGTTCATAGGATCAGTTGACGAGATGATGTAAGTGGTAACTGCTAGCATTCCTTAGTTTTTGGGCAGAAAAAGAGGATGTTGTTGTGTTTCCATTGCTTAAAAACATCCATAAAAGGTAAAGGTAAAGGTATCCTTGCTCGAAAGCCAGTCGAGTCCGACTCTAGGATTGCGGTGCTCATCTCCGTTTCAAAGCTGAAGAGCCAGCGCTGTCCGAAGATGTTTCTGTGGTCATGTGGCCAGCATGACTAAACACCAAGGTGCACGGAACGCTGTTACCTTCCCACCGAAGTGGTACCTATTTATCTACTTGCAATTTCTTGCTTTTGAACGGCTAGGTTGGCAGGAGCTGGAACTAGAGACGGGAGCTCACTCCGTCATGCAGCAACTCAGGTCTTGAACTGCTGAACTACTGACCTTCCACAGCCTGCAGTTCAGCGTCTTAACCACTTGAGCCACCACAGCTCCTAACATCCATATCGTAGCTTTTAATATGTGAAAATTTGGTTGTTTGCATTCTCCAGACTTTTAGTGAATTAAGTATGACCACAGCTCATGGAATTGTGGAAAACAGGGAGTGTAGTAAATGCATGGCTGAGATCTCTAGACAATTGACTGCCTACATGCTTTGAACTGCCAGGTGGAACACTGACCCTATTGTAGTATGAATGGGAATATAAAGATTTTTATATATAGGTTTTTCCTTCTTGATTGTTCATATTCATATTTCTCTGGTTTTTATAGATTTATTCTTTAAGTAATATTTTATTAGGATGTTAGAAAGGCCTGTTATATAGAAGGCTTTCCTCTTGTAGGTCTGATATTGTTAGCAACATAATAGGTACAAAGTTCATGATTCTGTCGTTCTTAGGGCAAACCTTTCAGTGTCTGGGTCAGATAAGATTTTAGTCTCGTATCAGTAATGAATACTTTTGTTTGGGGAAGAACAAGCTTTAGCCGATATGCCTTAGGTCATGTCAAGTAAATATGTGACGCTATTGCATAGACACACCTTTCTTACATTTGACCAATAAGGAGATTTTTATGTAAATGTTGTTTACGTTTTTGTAACCAATTATGCCTTTTGACTATTATTCCCATTATGATAATATGATGATGTCAGTCCATGTATAAAATATCATGTATTTCCTGAATATGTTCAGAATATGCTCAAGAAGAAGATGAAGAAGAAAAAGAAGAAAGTTGTCAATTTTTGGTTAACTATTTGGTCTAATTGTTTTCCTATTAATTGAGGCATGTTTCCTGATTATGCTGAGAAGAAAGCAGTCAGTTTTGATAGGTCCTTTGGCCTAACTGTTTTCCGTATTTCATTACAATAAAATACAAGAACTTCCTCCGCATTTGACTTCAGTTTTGACATGGAATCTAATATGTACAACACTATGGACACTGGTCATCTGTTTCTAACCAATGTTGTAATAGATCAGACACAGGTCTTAAACTGAGCGATAAAGTGACTCGCCTAAGGCCACCCAATCAATTTTGTGGCTGAGTGGGATTTTAAACCTGGGTCTTCGCACTTATGGCCCAGCTCAGTAGATAGTATTTGTGTATGCTTAAACAAAAGGAAATTAAGTATGTGTGTTGCTTTTTTCTTGTAGTGCAGTGGTTTTCAGGAAACCTTGGAATTCTTTGGAAGTATATTAGTTACCCGTCAATGGAAAGTTCACTAATAGGCATCCCTAAAAAGAGATTGCCTGCCATGTGCAAGGGAATGTTGTGTGTGTTCAGGGGGGCACTTAAAACTAGATTCAAGGTGAGGTCCAGTGGACCTGGCCATGTGTTACATGTGAACCAAGTGTCTGACCTCACAGGTGTTCCTTAGACTTGTATAAAGAAGTCCTTGCAGGGAGAAAGAGTGATTTTTTAAAAGGCATCAAAGCTATTGTCACAAACCAAGATCAGGATTATCAGATGTGATAAAATTTATTTAATGGGAAAGATGTTTTGGCCTATAACATATTCCTGAGTCACCTCCCCTTTTTTATGCCCATCTTTGGCAGTTCCGCAAAGGAAGTACCATTTATCATGTTGTGGTTTCATTAATTCCATGTACATTTACAAGAGCACCAGAAACACATGAATATTCATTCCAATTATACTAAAGAGGCATTAGTCCTTTTCTAAATGACCATGGTTATAATCCAAGTTGAAAGTTCACTTAAGACCAGAGATTCTTCTTAAAATTCTATACTTTCTCTTGTGGTTGGTTAGGTGTGGCAGATGAAAGGCAATCTGGTCTCGTTTCCTCCAGTTAAGGAAAGGCATACGGCACACTAGGCAGTTAAGAGCTACCAACGCTAACACACGATGATGAGAGAGAACAGATGTATTTTTGTGTATGTGTGAGAGATGTGAAATAAATTTCAGCACAAAAGAAGCTAAACTGGGTTGTTCATCTGGCTTTTGAGAGGAAATGTATTATCTATTCTGTGCTCCTAATGCAGCAGAATCTGGAAATGTTCATACACATCTTTTTAGAGTCTCCTTGGTTATTAATTCATTTGGTTCACATCTTTAATTCAGGGTGACACTCTGCCTCCTAGGCCTTGGACCGCATCACTTTCATTAATGGGATCTTGCACTTAAATGTACTGCTTCTGCCTCTGCTGTCCTGATGCCGCTGGATAAACTAACTTCTTGCATTCTCTTTGGCACTGTTTTACAGCTGGTGCCACGTATATCTTTGGGAAAAGTGGAGGCCTCATCGTATATACCTGGCCAGCAAATGACAGACCCAGCACAAGGACAGACCGCCTTGCAGTCGGGTTCAGCACAACAGTGAAAGACGGCATCTTGGTTCGGATTGACAGTGCTCCTGGCCTTACTGACTTTCTGCAGCTCCACATAGTGAGTACAAAGCTCCTTTTGACCCATGTTTTTGTTCCAATTGCCATTCTAGATCTTTTAGGTCAGTTTGGTTACCTACTACTGGAAACCTGTGAGACCTTGCAGGGAAAAATAAAATCTGTAATCTAATTGATCAGAGTTATGTAAGAATAAATGTACAGTTATGTAGTCATGCAGAGATTTTGTAATTGGGTTGCATTGAATATGAGTCCATTGTCCACTGTTAATGTGATTCTTTATAAACTACTGAAGCTTTGTGAGGTCATCAGTAAGGGGATGGAAGCTTTGGTATTCTTGTTTTCTGTTTCTAAACTTTATAGGGCACCTTTCCAGAATTCAGAGGAATGCTAAGGCAGGGTAGCCAGTAGCTTTGGAAATGTTTGCTGTATTTTCTACAACCATTATCCTGTATGTTGAGTTGTTATGGAGAAAATTTGCAGCCCCCTCCTCAATCTACACATTTTTTGTGTTCAAGATCTATATGTCTCATTTAATTTTAAAACCTTAGCTGTAGCACTACATAACCAGCAAGTGTCCTAAAACTTTGCAGTCCTCAACATGGCCCTTTCTGTGGATACTTAAATCCAAAGATTGGGACCATAGAGGCCCACAAAGTATTTTTAAGGAAACTTTTGCAGAAAAATACACTTACTGAAAATGGAGAGGGGGTAAATGCCCCCCCAAAAGGTGAACGTTTTCTGTGCAGGTGCCAACAGGACACTGAGCAGTGAGGGGAGAGGGTCTAGGAGGAGAAACTAGCAGGGTCAGTGGTGCACCTGGGTACTACCACCATTGAGGCCAGTGCTGCAACCTAGGCCTCTTCTCAGCTGGCTAAACAGGGGAGGGGGACCAGAAGCTGCCACTGCTCCCCCCAGTGGAGAGGCTGGCTCTGCCACTGCCACCTCTTTTGAGCAGGCATGGGATGAGGATTGGGGGCTGCCCTTGCTCCTCCTACCCTCACTCCCCCACTAAGGCAGAAACAATGTAGGCAGGCAAGGGACAAGGAGTGGGAGATGCCTCTGCTCATCCCCTCTGCATGAACCAGGAGGAAGGTGGACAGGTGGGCAGTCAGTGCAGTGGGGAGGGAAATGAGCAGACGGGTGGGCGGGCAGGCAGCCAGAGGAGGGAGGGTGCAGGCAAGATTCCTCCTCCCCTGTAGGTTTAGTGTTTATTGGGGGGTTTGATATTCTGAAAGTAGACAGGAGTGTGAGTAAAAAGCCAAACGGTGAGATCCTCCCAGCAAGCAAGGGCTTGTCTATATAGAATTCTGATTTTGCTATTATTACTTAGATACAGTCAATTGGACCCAGCAGCCTTGGCAATGTATGTGTGTATTCATTTATCCATTTAGAAGTCTTTATTCTTAGCCTGATCAGGGCAGTTACAACATATCCATGCTCAGTTTTATGCTCAACAATCCATGTCATGTAATTTGGGTTAAGAGATAATGACTCATCCCAGACCATCTAGTGAGCCACATGACTGAGCAGTAAGTATCCAATATGGCATCTCACTTAAAAAAAGCCTAGTATTAACTTGTTAATACATATAATTTTGTCTAGAAATCAATTTACCTTTACCTTAATAAAGTGCTGCCATGCTCTTCACTTTCTTACAGTCGCATGCACATGGTGACTCTTAGTTCAGTGTGATTCAGTTTACACAACCAAATCCCAAAGGTTTAGAATTATATATACAAAACCTTGGCCTAAATATAGGCTTTGCTTAGATTTGGGCATTGTGCCATAGACAGAATATATGAAGACAGAAAGAATACAGAAGATCAACAAAGAGACCAGGTTATCCATGGGTTAACAATTCAGCATAGAAGTCTGAAAAAACTGATGTACTAATGTTAGTCTCCACTCCTGTACGGTGGTGACTGATTGCTAACTTTTGGATTAAGGGTATCTGTTTCCACTACAATTACTATGAAAAAATGGATTGAGGCAGACCTCGAGAGGCCAACTAGGAGGTGTTTAAAGGGGCCCAGTGTCCTCTCTCCATCTTTCTGTCCTTAGGAAACATTTGTATCTCTGGCCAGTTCACTTCACATTGAGTGGTCATATTTGCAAGCTGTTGAACAGGCCTATGTGCTAGCTATACATGTCAAAAGTTGACCAGGGGGGAGCGGAAAGCATCCATATTGTTTAGTTTGTTTTAGTTAGTCTAAAGTACAAAGGGTAGAACATGAAGTGTTGTTAAATATTTTGGGTTTCTGCAATTGGATCTTGAAAAAGTACAAAACTAGGCCTTTGAAGCTTGCAAACAATCTTGCCTCCTCCATGAGAAATACTACTGACCCCCCACACACAATGAAATAACAAGTAGTGGAGATCTCTTGATTTTTATTTTGGATTGTCCATGTACTGTAAATATCACCTCAGAAAAGGATACTAATATTATTAATTTCTATCAGTGTGTAAATGTTAGACTCTTGACTATTAAAAAAAATGACATATACTTCTTGAGGGAGAAGAGAAATACCTAGATGAAAAATGACATATACTTCTTGAGGGAGAAAAGAAATACCTAGTGGTATGCCACGTTATCTTATGTTGTGGTGATAACTTTACAATTATACAGGTATTTAGAGTTTGCTGTCTACTGAGAAATTTTGCCCTGTTTGGGGGAAAGCTGATGATTTTGAAGGAGCTGAAAAATGTGTCAATTTTGGATGTAATTTTCTTGATTAATCCAAACAAGAGAGATTTGCTGATTCAGACGTGGTGGCTGCAGCACTGAAGTAACCAACATGACTTGTGTATCAAAATCCAAAGATTCTTTGCTCATACACTTATCCATACATATCATATATCTGCAAACCAGCATTGGCTTAGATAGGAGCTGTGCTGACATACAAACAGTATATACATGTGTGCCAGTGCATGGGCTAAAAGAACCATTTAAAAGTCCTTTTCAGCAATTTCTGTTGGCCATCCTCATAAGTTTACATTATTATAAAGATGTCAGAGTTCCACCAAACTCTGCATTTGGCTTCATTACTTTAGTAACCACTAAGCTCTTTGCTGCCACTTCCCTTCTTTCCATTGTGCCAAGGTTCCAAGATACTAGAGCAGTGTGTGGATTTAGCATCTTGTTTGTGGTAACTGATAATGCTATTACAAAACCATACGGCATGAAGTGCTTCACATTTCCTGTCAGTGCATACAGTTTTTCTGGTAAACATCTGTCCCGTTTTGATACTGTTGTCTTGACTTTGAGCTCCAGGTAGGCATCACTTGTATAACTGAGCTCTGGTCAATTTCTTCCCTCCATTTTAGGGCAGCAGCATTACCCTTTTTGTTGTTATGGGTGGTCCTTGATTAGATGTCATTTTGCTTGCCTTTGTTGGTTTCCCCTAAAAAAATTCTTGTTTTAATGAGGGAGGTCTGAGTAAAAAGAAGATTCCACGTGATGCACATACTAATGGTGTTTAGCATTTTGGAACGAGTAAAGGGATGAGATCCACACATATCTACTCCATGTCATGATAGCGGCTTCCAACCCATGTTGAACATTGTTGGGTAACTTTTGTCTTGACATCTGCATACAGCTCAGGGGGATCATGAGAGGTTTAGTACCACATAATTTTTCTATTTGCATACGGGGTGAAGAGAATACAAAAAGATATCTTATTAATTTCTTTTGTGGACTTAATTTATGGAAAATCCATTTGGATTCATTTTTTAATTATGAGCCCTTTAGATACTCTGGAGATTTATGTGCTCAGGCATCTGTTTTGTATGACAAGAATCTATAACCTCTGAAACCTTTTCCCTCCTGATTTACAGTGCAGATGTGAGCGAGCTGGCAGCCCAGGGAAAATGGATGATGCACCCTCCAGAATGACTCGGCTCATGAATTTCTAGGCATTTATATTGCACAAGGCTGAGTCCTGGTATGTGTGTGCAGGAGAGATGGTTAAATGCTTGCTGTGATTGAGCAAGCTTAAAGGTGTATATTCATGGTCTAGATTTTGGGTTCAGAGGACGAAGGGCAAGTAGTCTGCCGGGTCTTGATTGTGGCCTGGGGCCCAGTGCCTTTGTGCAGGGCAGGCAGTCACCTTACCTGAGCTGCCTCCGCCTTGTGATTTACAGCATGGGAAAAAATGCTCATCGAGAGTAAACAGAGAGTGAGCGGGACAGCTGTGGCTTATGATGGATATTGTACTGCTGATGTCTACAGGGAGAGATAAATCACCTGCCTGTGCACTGAAACTTTATTTTGCTGTCTTTCATTTGGGTATTTATTGCAAACTATCAGTGCACCCCTGGTTTATCCTCAGTAGAGTTATGAAGGGAGTCAATTGGCTCCAGTTTCATAGATGACTTGGGAAGGTAGTTTAAGCATTGGAGGGGGGGAATCCTCTCTGATTTCTAGAATGGAGCTCCAGTGCAAGAGCATTTCCAATGACTTCTAGGGTGACCAACATAGAATATTACTTGTTAACAGGCAGCATAACGTCAAGAATAAGAACATTGCAGAGGTGCCTTCATGACATATCGTTTTCAATAAACTTGTGTTCAGGAAAATCTTGATGTTGATAAGTAATGTATTTTTGTTTATTGTGTTTAGGAACTTTACATTGCATTGGTTAGTTGTGTGAAAAGAGTCTATATGGAAGATACTTCTATTTATTTATCTGTCACATTTTTCTCCCACTGTTCTTTCAAGGAGCATAAGATACATGGAGCCCATCTCCCTCAATTTACCCTTACAAAAAGGTCAATTTACCCTTACAAAAATCCTGAGAGGTGGGTTACACTAAAAAACCATGATTGGTTCAAGGTCACTCAGCAAGCTGCACTGCAGAGAGGAGATGTCACCCTGGATCTCCCAGGTCCTTCTCTGACCCTGCAACCACTACACCTCACCACACTGTCTATCCTACTTGGGCTGTCTCCAGCCTAGGCTGGTCTTCCTGCCTGGCCTTGCTCTTGTTCCTTTGTGAGCACAAAACACAAGGACATATAAGCAGGTGAAGCCTGGGCTTGTGT